GTGTATCCTTCAGTGATAATACTTATGCATTGTTTATTTCAATATTATGGAGATAGCTACTGTTCAAACGAATTAGAAAGCTATTTTGTTCTACCATCTTTTCGAATTCAGTCGAGATCTATTTGGGATTTTTAGAATTTGGAGATTTGGAGATTTGGGGATGTGGAGAGTTGGGGCGTTGAGAGTTTGGAAACTTGAGAATTTGGGGATTTGGAGATTTGGGATTTGGGGAGTTGGGGAATTAGGGAGTTGGAAATTTTAGAATTTGGGGATGTGGAGAGTTTGGAAACTTGAGAATTTGGGGATTTGGAGATTTGGAATCTGGGGAGTTGGGGAATTAGGGAGTTGGAAATTTTAGAATTTTGGGATGTGGAGAGTTGGAGAGTTGAGAGTTTGGAAACTTGAGTATTTGGAGATCTAGAGAGTTGGGGAATTGGGAATTTGGAAACTTGAGGATTTGGGGATTTAGAGATTTGAGGATGTGGAGAGTTGGGGAGTTGAAAGTTTGGAAACTTGAAGATTTGGGGATTTGAGGAGTTGGAATCTGGAGAGTTGGGGAGTTGGGAGTTTGGAAACTTGAGGATTTGGGGATCTGGGGAGTTGGAAATTTTAGAATTTGGGGATGTGGAGAGTTGGGGCGTTGAGAGGTTGGAAACTTGAGGATTTGGGGATTTGAGGAGTTGGGGAGTATGGGAGTTTGGAAACTTGAGGATTGGGGGATTTGGAGATTTGGGATCTGGGGAGTTGGGGAATTAGGGAGTTAGAAATTTTAGAATTTGGGGATGTGGAGAGTTGGGGCGTTGAGAGTTTGAAAACTTGAGGATTTGGGGATTAGGGGTGTTGGGAATTTAGGGACTTGATTTGGGGATTTCAGAACTTGAATTCTTACGGTTTGATATTTCTGTACTTGAGAATTTAAAAATTTAAGGACTTGGACGTCTAGAGGACTTCTAGAAATTCAAAGATGTACAATTTCTTAAATCGATTCTCATGAACTATGTGCATCTTACAGATTGCAATATACAACTGCAATATTAAATATCTGAAAACACACATTAACTACTAAAATATCTGAATTCCCATCAAAATTCCCCTGGAATTTCCGCGAGCCCATTTCCATATTAACCAAGGCGCACTTGCGAGGATACAAATTTCCGCGGCACTCGTCCGCTGATATGCTAATCGAATGCCGAGGCATCTCGCAGGGGTAAAAAAAAGAAAACTCCCCTTCGTGGACGTCTTTTCGCGTCTGCTTCTCGTCCAGAACGCCTTCCACTCGGCAACCGGGGATGAACAAGGGTGCTGAGCGTGTTTCCCTTAAATACACCGTGACGAGGAGGGGTTAAAAGCGTTTGGCAAGTCGAACAATTCTGAAACCTCGTATCCCGTTTCTTCCGGTTCTCTCCCCCTTGTACAGCTGACATTCGCCACCCCCTTGCAACCACCCTTTCTGGTATTACGCTGTAATATAGCTTGGTTCCCCTCGAAGACGCAGCAGGACGTAATAGCGTTCCTTCACTATTACTTGTACCCCCTGCCAGCGACTAACATTCTCTTTTTCGTCATTCTTCCTGCGGCTTTTCGTCTTCTGTCCATTCTTCGGGCTTGCCTTTGATCACCCTTTGCGTCCCTTCGTGTCTACGATTTTTTGGTGAATGTGTATTTAGGGTGGGGGTCTTTCATGTTAACAGCAATTTAATTGAACTGTGATTTAAACAACTCAAATGATCAATTAAAGTGAACATTTTATCTAAACAATTGAACTGAGCAATTTAATAGAACAGTTGATCTAAACAATTGAACTCATCAATTAAATTGAACATTTTATCTAAACAATTAAACTGAGCAATTAAATAGAACATTTGAACTAAACATTTGAACTGATCAATTAAATAGAACAGTTGAACTAAACAACTGAAACAAACAAGTAAATTAAACAATTAAACCGAAGAATTAAATTAATTTAAATTTAACTGAACAATTAAATTAAACAATTAAGCAACATTAAAGTAATTAAATTCAACAGGTATATTGTATAATAAAAATTGACAATTACATTAAGCAACTGAACTGAACAATTAAATTTAATAATAAATATAAACAAGTAAACTGAACATTGAAGTACAAAATTTAGACCAAACAATTTTATAGAAAGACATAAAAATATGAACAAATAATACAAATCAGATCTTCATACATGAAGATTGAACTCTTAAACCTAACCTCAAAAGCAGACCATTTTAGAGACCATTTTAGACCTAACCTTAAATAATATTTGATAATTAAAGGATCATAAGAAAGTTCATACGGGTATAATGAAAACATCATACAAGTTTATACGCGTTAATTTAGACACCATAAAACGTACAGACGTTCCAAGAATGTTGTTGTTGAAGTTCGAGGAGAAATCCCTTCGAAAATCCTTTATACAAGAGCAGCATTAAATTAGTAAGTTTTAATAAAGTCGTGTAGAGACAGTGTAATAATTACTTAACTACTCGTTAAGTAATGAATTTCTTCCCGAAGAGGGAAGCTGGAACGAGAGAAGCGACACGATTATGAGTATTACATAATTTTGCGATAATCTTTGTTTGCAGCTGTACGATAAACACTTCAAAGTATTAAAATTGACTTCACCACTCCCCCGTTGAGGAGAAGAGTGAACTTTCCCTCTGTCTGAATAATATCGCCTCGTTTTAGGGGTGCATCGCAGTTTTGAAAGTTCAATTACTTTGTGTGTGCATAAACGGTGGAGAGAGATGAGATTCGCCGATCATTTTATTCGCTTCGTTTGCCACGATTTTGGTTTTGGTTATAAATTGCTTTAGATGAAATTGCCTTTTGCTGGAAGAAGAAACCTTTGATACGTACATTGATTGATTCTATTTACGAATTTTTACGGTTTTATGTTCTTTAGTTTGCAAATTTTTGTGTTTAGGAATTTTGGTTATGTGAATTTGTAGGGTGGTACATTTTTATTTGGGAATTTTGGAATTAGGTTTCTTGGGTTTAAAATTTCTAAATTTTCAAGTTCCCACATTCCCTAGTTCCAAATTCCCTAGTTCCCAAATTCTCAAGTTTCCAAATTTCCTAGTTCCCAAATCCCTTAGTTCCAAATTCTCAAATTCCCAAATTCTCAAGTTCCCAAATCTCCTAGTTCCAAATTCTCAAGTTTCCAAATTTCCTAGTTCCCAAATTCTCAAGTTTCCAAATTTCCTAGTCCCAAATTCTCAAGTTCCCAAATCTCCTAGTTCCAAATTCTCAAGTTTCCAAATTTCCTAGTTCCCAAATCCCTTAGTTCCAAATTCTCAAATTCCCAAATTCCCTAGTTCCAAATTCTCAAGTTCCCAGATCTCCTAGTTCCAAATTCTCAAGCTTCCAAATTTCCTAGTTCCCAAATTCTCAAGTTTCCAAATTTCCTAGTTCCCAAATCCCTTAGTTCCAAATTCTCAAATTCCCAAATTCTCAAGTTCCCACATCTCCTAATTCCAAATTCTCAAGTTCCCAAATCCCCTACTTCCAAATTTACAAATTTCCAAATCTCCTAGTTCCAAATTCTCAAGTTCCAAAATCTCCTAGTTCCAAATTCTCAAGTTCCCAAATCCCCTACTTCCAAATTTACAAATTTCCAAATCTCCTAGTTCCAAATTCTCAATTCCAAAATCTCCTAGTTCCAAATTCTCAAGTTCCCAAATCCCCTAGTTCCAAATTCACAAATTTCCAAATCTCCTAGTTCCAAATTCTCGAATTCTCAAATCCCCTAGTTCCAAATTCTCAAATTCAGAAATAGCCTAGTTCTAAATTCTCAATCGTCCCAAATTTCCCCATCCTTAATTTTCCCCTTTACAAACCCCCAAATCCCCAAATTCCCAAATTCTCAAGTTTCCAACCCTCCACCAAAATTTCCAAATTACTCAACCACCCCTAATTTCCAAATTCCAACCACTCCTATAAAATACTAATAAAATTCGACGAAAATCCAGCAGATAACAGAAATTATCATAGCTTGTTCCTTTGTACCATAAGCAGACTATGTACAAATGTAAATGAGAGACGTTCCGTCTCGGTGTACATACTGTTGAGCGTAAAACGCCTTTAATCTGATGAAGTAACGCGACGAGGATGCCTCGCGCAAACGGGATTCTTCGTTTCGCTAAGTTGGTAACAATTAGTAGTTAGTGACCCTCGAGCGAGCTCGTGCTCTGGCAACAACGATTATTGCAAGCCTGGCAATGGTACTAACGATGCGTACGTAAACTTTACATTTATCGTTATGGTGCCCCGTCAACTTGCCGACTGGTCTTTGTTTCTTTGTTGCCCTCGCTGCTCCATTTTATTCTTGCTACCTTACTAGCTTTGTTCTGTACTGTTTCTACTGTGGTTTACCTTTTACGGGGTTTCTTTGGGGAATTTAATTGGTGGATTATTAAGTTATGAAGTTAGTGTGTTACTGAGTTACTACATAACTAAATATTAAAATCTCGAACTTCTAATTTTTCAAACTTTAAAATTCGCACCTCCTCAAATACTAAAATTATAAAATTTCATATGTTTAATTTCATATTTAAAAGTTTCCACTTTGGATGATGAGAGAAATGCATTATTTACATGTTATGAAGAGTTGATCCTCTTAATGAAATTAAGAGTGATGGGTAAAGTAGTGATGGGTTTAAGTAGTGATGGGTTTCGAACAATAAAAACACACCTCGATTTTTAAAACTTTAATATTCTGCCTTGAAACCTTCTACCATAATATATATCTGTAAAGTAGCACTGTATTCGTTAATGTAGTTATCAAAAATAAATTAATCTTGAACATTAAATAATTAAATAGTAGCTTACATAAATAGAAGCGTCTGCAGCATCAAACAATATTAATAATTAGGCAATCTTGTAATAAATATCTTAAAATATATAAAAACATACACTGGTATGCTTAAATTATTTTATTTGTTAATATTCATAGTTATTTTCTTTAATGCATATAGGAACGAGTCATTGCAAATATTTAAACAACTGAAACAATATAAAATAGGAACATCCAAGAACCTGACAAACGAATATAATCTGTAAAACACAAATTGTAGACACAGGAATCTATGGACACTAATCTAGGGAATCCAGGAATCCGCAGATAAAATCGTCGACTAAATACAAAGTTCCCCCGATACGATTTCGTTACCGTCGACAGTATTTCCCGTTTCTTTCATCCGTATCCTCCTAAATCAATTTTCAACGCTTTTGTTTCGAGCCGGATGAAGCTTAAGGTCGTCGAGCACGATAAGCCAGAGGTATGTCACAGAACAGATGAAAGAAGTCGAGGAATGTGTCAGTTTTTTTGCGGTTTTATCAGCCGGCTGGCCGGAGGTGGCAATTTGTTGAAACCAGCGTTGTCGAAGACCGGAAGTAGGTCCCTGACTCTTTGTCCGGCGCCAATGGCTGCCAGCTCGAGCCACCTGTAATGATGGCGAACAGGATTGAAAAATGAATTGCTTCCTCGTCAACTTTTAGTACTTTTCTATCCGGTTCCTTTCTTCTCTTCTTGCTACTCAATATTTTACATCAAGCACTATTAACGAGTACTAACATATCAGGTACTAACATAACCACTAACAGGTTATTTTGCTGACATATATCTGTGCATGTTATGATACATTCAAGTGCATTGTTAGTATTAAACATTTACGTACACTATTATGTACATTTATTTGTTATTAATATGTTACGTGTATTTTGCAACTGTGCAAGTATTATTATTGCAATTGTGTACTTAGCAGAGGTGATTGGATTATATGATGTCAGTGCTGTAATTAATATTAGCACATGTAGAGAAGCATTATGAAAATGATTACATTCACACAGATGGTTGGTTTTTAATAGGTAATTTGGGGTGTAGAGATTTACAGGTATAGGGGTTTTGAAAGGTGAGGATTTAGAGATGAGTGTACTGTGATATGGGATTGTAAGGATTTGGGGATTTAGAAACTTGGGAACTAGGGAATTAAGGAACTTGAGAATTTGGAACTAGGGGATTTGGGACCTGAGAATTTGGGAACTGGGGAATTTGGGAATTTGAGAATTTGGAACTAGGGAATTTGGAACTTGAGAATTTGGAACTAGGGAATTTGGAACTTGGGAATTTGGGAATTAAAGAATTTTGGAACTTGGGAATTTGGAAACTTGAGAATTTGGAACTTGAGAATTTGGGAACTAGGGAATTTGGAAATTGGAGAATTTGGGATCTAGGGATTTTGGAACTTGATAAGTTGGAACTAGGGGATTTGGGAACTCGAGAATTTGGAACTAGGGGACTTAGGAACTCGAGAATTTGGAACTAGGGGATTTGGGAACTCGAGAATTTGGAACTAAGGGCTTTGGGAACTTGAGACTTTGGAACTTGAGAAATTGGGAACTAGAGAATTTGGGAACTTGAAAATTTGAGAACTAGGGAATTTGGAAACTTGAGAATTTGGAACTAGGGGATTTGGGAACTAGGGAATTTGGGAACTAGGGGATTTGGAACTTGAGAATTTGGGAACTAGGGAATTTTGGGAACTTGAGAATTTGGAACTAGGGAATTTGGGAACTTGAGAATTTGCAACTAAGGAATTTTGGAACTAGACAATTTAGAAATTTGGAAAATCTCTAAAAGTCCATAAATGATCTTCCATTCGCACTGACAGTAAAAGAAGAGTAAACATCGCGCCAATATTTGAAGAGAAAATTCCCTATGAAAATTGTCGAAACACTTGGCGCGTTTCACATTAGCAGAAATTCAATCGCGCCTCATTAATTTATGGGACGCAAACGTGGTGGAAAATATGAAATCACGTGGACAAGCGTTAGGGGCGAGGGAGGTGAAACTCCTGTTGTCCCCATGGAATATCGTTCGTATTATATCCACGTGGAGAGCAGCAGGCTTCGTCATGAAAGCTGAATTTCTACGAGACCATTCGGACGGCTTGTCCATTTTCACTGACGCCATGCTTTGTTGCTTTTCACAGAACGACCGCAAATTCGATGCCGTGGTATTTTCGACGTTTCCAATTTGCGCTTTAGAATTTAATGGCTAAAGCGCGCCTTTATGATTCATAAACGGGGAGCATTTCGCTAGGCGATACGTTTGTTATTTTCTGCCGGGCTAATAAGCTTCCACTCGACCGACAAACGGTTGCATTCGCCAACAAACACGGTTAACCGAAAACAACCGATTGTTTTCTATCGATACCTTTCGGCCGCCATTTATTCCGACAATTGTTTTACAAATTTTTCCTCTATTTTATTTTATTTTCACCGAGCTGTAATTGCAATCAGTAAATTAATTTTAAAGTCACAAGTCTGTAGATATAACAATTTTTTAGCTTGTTAAATTCAAGAATTTAAAATTTGCAAATTTCTCCAACAATTTTGGAGTTGGAAAGTTAAAAATAAAAAAATTTGAATTTTATGGTGCTCATAAATTTACTATGGTAAATTGCCGTGGTATTTGACTAATATTATTTTGAACAATAAAATTAAGCTGGATACTAATTACGCTCGTGTCAAGGGAAACGTAATGTTGCATATAATGTACATAAATAAACAGGGATCAAATGGGAATTAATTCTCATTTAGATGCGATATTTATCGGGGTTTCTACATTATCCAACTATGTTAATTTATGAAGGCACAATGAAATAATTAGCCTTAATTGCGCATATACTATTAGAGGTGAAATAATACTGTCCATTTGTTTCAAATACTAATATAACTAAATATCAGGTTAAAATAATAATTAAATATTTCCATCAAATATCACATTCGATACCATTTTCCAAAATTCGTTACATGAAAAAGAAACTATATATTTATTTAATTAACATGGTATAAATTCATCTAGCAGCAAACAGAAGCCAATAATAACCAATCAAGGTAAATTTGGCTAGAAGCGATAGGGGATGAAATCAATCGCTTCACCTCCGATAAACTGATCTTCAATTTGATTAATAGTGGTATTTCATTACTTAACAAATAATAAAAGAATATCACCATCGTCACTGTAAGAGATGTTCATAACATTATTTAAAAACCAACCCTTCTTATGAAATTAAAAAACAAAATAACCAAATCAGTCAGAACCATGTTTCATATTCATGGATTTGGGAGCTAGGGAATTTGGAACTTGAGTACTTGGGAACTAGGGAATTTGGGAACTTGAGAATTTGGGAACTTGAGAATTTAGGAACATGAGAATTTGGGAATTTGAGAATTTGGAACTACGGGATTTGGGAAATAGGGAATTTGGAAACTTAGGAATTTGGAACTAGGGGATTTGGGAACTAGGGAATTTGGAACTTGAGTACTTGGGAACTAGAGAATTTGGAATGTGAGAATTTGGGAACTAGGGAATTTGGGAACTTGAGAATTTAGGAACTTGAGAATTTGGGAACTTGAGAATTTAGGAACTAGGGAATTTGGAAACTTGAGAATTTGGAACTAGGGGATTTGGGAACTAGGGAATTTGGAGCTTGAGTACGTGGGGACTAGGGAATTTGGGAACTTGAGAATTTGGGAACTTGAGAATTTGGGAACTTGGGAATTTGGAAACTTGAGAATTTGGAACTAGGGGATTTGGGAACTAGAGAATTTGGAACTTGAGTACTTGGGAACTAGGGAATTTGGAATGTGAGAATTTGGGAACTAGGGAATTTGGGAATTAGGGAATTTGGGAACTTGAGAATTTGGGAACTAGGAACTAGGAACTAGGAACTAGGAACATATTCATATTCATACTATTAAATAAATTATCACAAATAAAACATCATGAAACCTATAAGAAATCACCAGAAATAAAAAAGCAATCAGCAAGAACTAAAAACCCAGCCATCGATTCCTAATTTATCCAATAACACCATGCATTCGAGAAAGCGCCCCAATTTATCCAAAAGATCAAAGAAAAATTGGTAAACCTAATAAAGCGACCCATCTATCAGTCCGATTGGAAAGCTAATAAAAAGCATGGAAGAAAGCGAGCGAAGTCAGAAAGTGGACAGGGGTTGAACTCGGTCGCGCCACCCCTGATAAATTGAAATTGATTTTGGTCGGTGGGTCACGGGTAGAGAGCGTTTCGCAAGCATATGTGAACACACATTCATTTCCCACCTGTTGTTTTTGTATTTGGCGAGGGGTTGAGCAGCCGGATGGGGCGTTTCGGTGGGGAAATATGTGGCCCCATAAAAATCCAAACCACGGCTGAGCAGCAACGAGGTCTCCTCGACGCTGGCCAGAGTCACCCTTATAACGGGTGGACCCGTGTAAATCGTTGCTGGTTCGTGTTGATTCTGAGCCTCGCTTTTTAACTTGTCGTTGATCGCTTTTACTATTTTATCAAAATAAAAATTTTAGAAGTAGAATTTTTTTTTATTGGAATCTTAGAATTATTGGGAGCTGAGAATTACTGTTCTAGGGTTAGTATTCTAGAATTTCGGAACATTGGAATTTAGGGGGTTGGGAAATAGTAGAATTTGGAAAATTTTGGGGATCGGGGATGTTTGAGGAATTTGAGGATTTTAGAAATTTGGAAATTTGAGAAATTTAAAATTTTTTAGAATTTGGGGATTTTAGAAACTTTTGAATTTTAGAAATTTAGGGATCTGGGAAATTTGGGGATCTTGGGAATTTGGGGACCTGAGAAATTTGGGAAATTTGGGGATTTGAGAAACTTGCAAAATTGGAAAATTTGGGGATTTGGGAAACTTGGAAAGGGGAATTTGGGAGTTTGAGAATATGGAACTAGGGAATTTTGGGAACTTGAGAATTTGGAACTAGGGGATTTGGGAACTTGGGAATTTGGAACTAGGGGATTTGGAAACTTGAGAATTTGGAACAAGGGATTTGGGAACTTGGGAATTTGGAACTAGGGGATTTGGGAACTTGAGAATTTGGAACTAGGGAATTTGGAACTTGAGAATTTGGAACTAAACTTAAATAACATTGATACTATATTTAATTATACAGGCCAGGATTTGGGAACTTGAGAATTTGGAACTAGAGAATTTGGAACTAGGGAATTTGGGGACTAGAGAATTTTGGAACTTGGGAATTTGGAACTAGGGGATTTAGGAAGTAGGGAATTTGGAAACTAGGTAATTTGGAACTAGGGAATTTTGAGAACTTGAGAATTTGGGAAATTTGGGAACTTTAGAAACTTGGGAATTTAGGAAATTTAAGAATCTGGGGAATTTGGTTATTTTAGAAACTCAGAAATTTGACAAACTTGTAAATTTCAAAAATGTTTGGACTTCTCTAATTTGATATCTCGAAATATCAACACAAAAGATGCATAACCAAATAAAAAATTTGTAAATTCCAATAATTCGAAAGGTACAACCCTTGAAAATGTACACTCGTAAAATTTGCAAAAATAAAGAGCCCAGAAGAAATTGAAGAATCCGATCAGCTGTTCGTGTGCATCGAAACGATCGCTTTTGAGCTTATCGTTGCTCGCTTTCACTAATTCACAAAGCAGACGCGAACGGGTCAACGGGTGTGCAGTTAGGGAAATGAGGAGGCGGGGGCGGGCAAAAGAGGGGCGAATTAATTCGATCGGGGTTCGATTGAGGCATCCGTTACCGGAATTAATGAAACTAATTGCGAGAACCTCGTGGAATCGAATTGTTGCGTTTTTCTATCTATTTATTTTATCGGTTTTCGAACATTTTTGTTTCCTCTGGTTTTGCGAACGATCAACATTTTCGCGATTGCTGGTACACAGAGAAATTTTGTGATTTCACCAATCGCGTTGTTAGCTCGGAGGTGAATTTTTTAATTTGTAAAAACAAGTTTGTAATCAATTTTCTTTTTTTTTTTTTTTTATTCGACCAGCGGATTTTAAGGTAGAATAAATATCGCGTGTCGTGTTAAAGCTGTTGCAATTTGTAAATTGATTTTGGTAACTGAATAAATTGTTTCTTTTTTAACGCTTTATGGACGGGCGTTGTCCATTTTTTAATTCAGTGCTGTTAAATCTTTTTATTCGTATCAAAAATTTTCAGTGCATTCGCGAAATTATAACTTTTGAACATGAAACATTTTGCTTGCAAATTTATTGAGATACACCACTTTTGAGATATTTATATTAATGGCACAAAAGAATGTTCTTGACGTAATTAGTGTTGCGTTAACTTTATTATAATCATCGTAAATTAAATATAGAATACTACATAATTTGCAGTAAATTTAATCTGTACTTTATGTGCATGTATTTTTCTGAATGAAACTTTTTGATCATTCAGGCAAGCTGTTGAAAATTCAAGGTCATGCAAAGGTCATATAAAGGTACAATCATATGTAGATCACATAGGTACAATTAATGGATAATTATATAGCAAATATTTTTAAAATATATGTATAATTTATAGACAAGTAATGAGACAATTTTTCAGACTATTACGAGATTGTTCGAAATATCACAAAATGGTGGATCTTCGATCACATGTGTCATATGTGACATATGAAAAATCTGTCTCGAATAGCTTCAATTAGGATTTCAAGTCCAACTACATTTTGCAAAATCAATTGCTGAATACATCATTAAAATAACATGACAAAATGGTGGATCTTTGACCATATGTGTCCATATGTGACATATGACAAATCTGTCTCGAATAGCTTCAATTAGGACTTCAAGTCCAACTACAGTTTGCATAAACAATTGCTGAATACATCATTAAAATAACACGACAAAATGGTGGATCTTTGATCATACATGTCCATATGTGACATATGAAAAATCTGTCTCGAAGAGCTTCAATTAGAACTTCAAGTCCAACTACATTTTATAAAATCAATTGCTGAATACATCATTAAAATAACATGACAAAATGGTGGATCTTCGATCATATGTGTCCATATGTGACATATGAAAAATCTGTCTCGAATAGCTTCAATTAGGACTTCAAGTCCAACTACATTTTATAAAATCAATTGCTGAATACATCATTAAAATAACATGACAAAATGGTGGATCTTTGATCATACATGTCCATATGTGACATATGAAAAATCTGTCTCGAAGAGCTTCAGTTAGGACTTCAAGTCCAACTACAGTTTGCATAATCAGTTGCTGAATACATCATCAATATAACATTTTATTAACAACTCTATTTTATTATTGCAAATAGTTGTGATTGATTAGGTCCGACTAAGTGGTTAAGCTAAAATTTGAGTACTCACACGCAGTGGCAGTGTTGAGAGGCAACCGCGTAACTTCGACTATGGAACGATACTTGTAGAGAGCGTGCCTAATATCCTCTTCGGGCAATTCTTCAGGTACGTCCAAAACGTAGACGGTGAATGTCTTTGCCGGTCTGCAGGGTATGGCGACCTGCGTTCATGAATACGAAACGTCGTATTTAGAGGCGTTTGAAGAGAGAGAAAGGTCCTTTGTGTACCGAAAGATAAGTACCTTCTTGTAGAAACGTGCCCCGGTGACTTTGTGGAAGCCCTTTTTGTAGACCGCCTGAAAATCGTCGATGTTGCTGAACTTGAAGAGTATACCCGTAGCTGTTTTCGTCAGGGAAAATGCGCCACTGTAATTCAAAGCGGAAACCAAGCTTTATCTATTTCGCTCTTTCTACTTTTTTACCTCGGAGATTCATCACATTAGGGAAAATCTACCACATTTCTATTTGTTAATAACTTCTGACTCGCCAAATTCTGGCTTCTTGAAAAATTGCTCAAAATGGCGTAATTCTTTTTTTAAAAAAAGCTGCATAAATAAAATTGGAACATTTGCAGAATTATATTCACGAAAATATAAAACTATTTCGTAGTGGTTCTTTGAAACATTCAATATTAATTTAACAATTAAATAACAAAATTTAAAAATTAGAATTGAAAGAATTTTTAAATATGTGTCTATTCTTATTCCTCTGGTATCTTGCTTTCATAGCAAACATCACTTTCCACATCAAATATTAAATTATTTTTCTCTATTTTTTAAAGCAATACTATCTATTTAAAAACCTGCCAATATTCATTGCAAACAAATAAAAAAAAAGAACAATTAACATAATTATTTCATTAATACTTTACCTTGCGTTTATTTCACAATCTGAATGGTAGACTGAAATAATGAAATTGTTTGGAAAATGCAACACGGACAAAGAGAATAATTCATCTCGTTTTACAACAATGGCTCCTTAAAATCGTGGTACAATGATTCATGATGTTAATCAAACATTTGTTTCAATATTGTCCTTTGGGGGAGCGACTAATTTGTTTCAATTATTACTGGTATTGTGATATAGCGTTACAGAGAAATGGTTCGCGAGTTTTGAACTAAAAGCAATAACCGGAGTATTGAAGTTCCTGTCTCCCCTACGCCACACGTTGTTAGTTGTTTAATAGTTACATCGTCATGTTAGTACACAATTAACATTCTCATACCTACTGAATTTCTAAGTGAAATTTCAGCTCATTATTGCTTGGATATTCCGGGATATTTAGTGGACTTATTACTTTAGTTAGTTAGGTTTCTGTATGGGGAGTTATATTTTTATTGCGGGAGGAGTGAATTATTGGGTGTGGAAGTGTTGAGATTTCATTTGGTAATTTTTAAAGTTGAAATTTTGGGAATTTTGGGAATTTTGGGAATTTTGGGAAATTGGGAATTTGGGAATTAGAGGATTCGGGAATTAGGGAGATGGGGGATTAGGGAGCGGGGAAATTAGCGAATGGGGAAATTAGAGAATGAGAAAATTGGGAAATGTGGAAATTTGGGATTTATGGAATTAGAGAATTATGGAATTGGGAATTATGGAATTTGGGAATTATGGAATTGGGGGCTTATGGAATTGGGGGCTTATGGAATTGGGGGCTTATGGAATTGGGGGCTTATGGAATTGGGGGCTTATGGAATTGGGGAATTGTGGAATTGGGAAATTATGGAATTGGGGACTTATGGAATTGGAGAATTATGGAATTGGCGAATTATGGAATTGGGAAATTATGGAATTGGGGAATGTGGGAATTGGGGAATTATGGAATTGGGGAATTGTGGAATTGGGGACTTATGGAATTGGAGAATTATGGAATTGGGAAATTATGGAATTGGGGAATTATGGAATTGGGGAATGTGGGAATTGGGGAATTATGGAATTGGGGAATTGTGGAATTGGGAAATTATGGAGAAATTGGAATTATGAAACGTTCATAAAATTCTCACCGAAAATTCATTTTCTCGCAAATGGTAGCCGCTTTCTCGATGCTGAGTTCATGGCTCGGTGTGAGTAGAAAAGCTCCCTTGGTGAGGAAATCAGTTTCGCTGATCTCGGAATCGGTGTCCTGATCCTGCCAGTCACCGGAGCTACGCCGGACCTCCTGGTTCAGCCGCAACAACGAGCTATTTTTCGACGTCGACATGTCGTTTTCACACGTGCCACTGTCGTCCTGACCCCTTTCAGACATCTTTTATAGACCGTCCAAGTGGGATCGGCTGGATCGAAGGTAACCCGTTACGCGAGATCGACTCCTCCAAGTATTGGACGCACACTCTATCGATGTACTGCTCGACAGTTACGCACCGATACGTCTCTTTTATATTGGCTAGATGCTATATGATCGTTAATGATCGAGAACTCTGCCCACGATCTGTCTACCGGTCGTCGTTTAGATTGATTTATTACTGGATGATGTTTTTGCTCTTTAGGTTAGGTTAATTGGTGGAGCTTTGGATTGTGGGAATTTGGTTTGGTTTCAAGGTTATAGATTTTTGGGTTAGGTTAGATTATTGTTACAGATTTTTAGGTTACGTTTGGTTTCGTTATTGTTGTAGGTTTTTAGGTTAGGTTAGATTAAGTTAGTGTTACAGATTTTTAGGTTAGGTTACTGTTATAGATTTTTAGATTAGGTTTGGTTAGGATATTGTTATAGATTTTTAGATTAGGTTAGGTTATTGTTATAGATTTTTAGATTAGGTTAGGTTAGGATATTGTTATAGATTTTTAGAATAGGTTAGGTTATTGTTATAGATTTTTAGATTAGGTTAGGTTAGAATATTGTTATAGATTTTTAGATTAGGTTAGGTTATTGTTATAGATTTTTAGGTGAGGTTAGGTTGTCGTTATAGTTATTGAGGTTAAGTTAGATTAAGTTATTGTTATAGGTTTTTAAGTTAGGTTAGGTTAGGATATAGTTATAGACTTTTAGATTAGGCTAGGTTATCGTTATAGATTTTTAGGTCAGGTTAGGTTATCGTTATAGATATTTAGGTTAAGTTAGGTTAGTTTATTGTTATAGATTTTTAGGTTAGGTTAGATTAGGTTATTGTTACAGATGTTTAGATTAGGTTAGGTTATTATTGTAGATGTTTAGGTTAGATTAGGTTATTGTTATAGATTTTTAGGTTAATCCAAAGTCACAAACTCAATAAACTTCCCCACGATTATAACTCCGTGCAAACTGCAGAAATAAAAGAAAAAAAAAGTAGGATAAAACGATAGAAGAGGCGGCATCTCTCGTGGAGGCTGAATGCTCGCCGCTTTACGAACGATTAAATATTTGCCAGCTCGAAAGCTCCGATACTCGTTGGCTTTTCACCGAACTTCTCGAGTTTAAACAAATTTTGTAGCGTCGTAGAGATTTCATTGAAGATCCTCGAGCAACGTTAAGACCGGCTGCCGAAAGGTTCAATTAACGCGACTTCATCGAACTCTCGTAGGCGAGGAGGAGACAAACGGGTGGCAAGTTGGTACACAAAGACGCAAACAAGCGTGTACACAGATGGGGGGTAGAGAAACGTAGAGTGGGCGAAAGGGTGAGAAAGATAGAGGAGGGTGTGAGTAGGGTACGCGTGAAATGCTCATTCAGAAGCTCGATTTGAATTGAAATCAAGAACGCTTCGCTTTCTGCCAGGATGTTCGCGGAGGCCGCGACAAAGCGTCGTCGAAGTGCATCGATTTGCACTAATTATCGAAACGGTAATTGCTGTGAACGAGAACTACTGCTGATAGAGATCGAACCGATGAATCGCTAATCGAGCGTTAATGAAATGGAATAAACGTGCATGGATCGGGGCGTTAGACTGCATTATACTGAAACACCCCGTCAGCCTCGTTCAGGAAGCCCTGAACGGGTGGAAAGTTTTCGAGTGAAAGGGGGTAATTAGCTGAGTCGAAGGTAATTTCGGACTTTTTGTCCGTTTCAACATCGCCATCCTAAATGGCTAATACGTAGACCTTCGAGTATCGTGTGTGAATAATGAATTTACTAATTATCTTATTCTACAATAATTTCTTTCGATACTGAGAATTACATTTTGAAATAGGGGTAGTAATTGCAATCGTCGATCTCTACGCATTTTTTCAAGATTTTTAGAGATTTTATGACGTTTCTTGGGATCAGTTTTAATTAATTTTGATAATTTAATTCAAGTATCGATTATACCTCATTTTCATACGGCAGAGCGCAGAGAGACGTAGTTTTAATTAATATTGAAAATTTAATATGGAATTGAGTATACAGTATTTTCGTACAGCTGTGTAGATGTAGCTTTAATTAAGATCGATAATTTAATTTGGTTATTATTATATAGCATTTTTGTATACCAGTCATATTGCGCATTTTTAAAGTTATTAATTAAAAATTATTTTTATTCATTTTTACTGAAATTCATTTTCTGATGTCATTAATTTTATTGAAATTAATTTTACTTTCACTGAAATTCATTTCCTGATTTTGCTAATTTTACTGAAGTTAATTTTTGTTTTTTTTATTTGTTTTATTTACGTTGTATGTGTTATGGTAATATGAATTTTATTCAAGCGTTTTAAATTCACCGTTTAGTCGACACTGTTATTAGTTTGAGTCATTACCTGCTATTACGATCTCATTTTCTGTTTTCTAATAATTTGATTATAGTAAATTTATGATGGCGGTGACCGGTGATTAACGAGACAGTGAGCGTGTTAAATTTCTTCGGGAAACTGCAATCTACCGGAAATTGCATTACATTTCAGCAACATAACGACCTAAAGCACCCTTCAGCGCCCATATCTTTTAAAATATGTATCATTATAAATGCTTCAAACATTATGAAGATTAATACTCCTTTCCAAATAAAGACCAAAATTTATGTGTCATTTCTTTAACCACGCTATTAAATCTAATTTATACTTCTCTTACAAATTATCATATTTGAAATGTTCCAATTTTTAAACTTCGAAAATTGAGAAATCTTTAAACGCTCGTGTTACGAATTTCATGAAATGAAAATTCTTATCAATGAAAATCCTCATTAAACGTTCATTTAATAAAACAAAAGGCAGAAATTTCTCCGTACGAATATCGGAGTAATTACAGAATCATTTGCTATATTGCATTTCAATGGCGAAGCAATTTTGAAAAACTTGTATATCGTTATCAATCAAAATTCTCATTAATCGTTGAATCGACGAAACAAAGACCTCGACCATATCTGCTCGCAAATTTACCAGTCATTATGGAGCCATTCACGCAAGCTCCGCCGTAAAATCCGTAAATCAGAAAATACGAAATCCGTTTCCCGACAAAATATTCACTCATTCCTCCT